GACAAACCCCGAGTTTGAATAAATCTCTGGCAAACAAGCTAATAATAATTGCCTTTTAAAGACATCTGGCGGCAAAGGCCTGAGAGGAACTGTGTAAAGCCAACCTCAAACTGAGATATAGAAGAAAAGCTCATAGAAGATAAGATCACAAATGTAAAATTTAATACAGTTCTTTCTTTATGTTCAGCTTAGAATAGCTGGGGAATTTTTCCATCCTGGAACCCTTCTTTATGGGGGACTCATAAGAAGGTTAAATTAACTATAGAAGCAGTTGTGGAATGAACAGACACAACAGTAACAAATCATTGGGATTAGCTGTTACGTGCCCAAGAGCCTGAAGGATGAAATAAGTGAACTATTATGATATGTAATATTTTGCTTCAAACCACTGTGGCACACGAAGGCTTGGAGGTGCTAATATAACACTGATTTTTTTTCCCCCAAAGATTTCCAGGGAGTTCAGGGGAGCTAAGGATGGATATGACTGACATACACAGGGTAAAACAGTAGGAGCAGGATTAATGGACCCATGGAGAATATCCAATGCTGAAAAAAACTCAACACAGCTTTTCTAAATGAAGGTCATATTTTGCAATGCTTTCTGAATTCTTAAAAGAGGTTAACATGCAGGTAGATATGTAGGCATGGATTCAAAACAAATGAGGGGAAACTGTTTGCTGTGTAATATATGATTAACCCGTGCATCTCACTAACACAGAATGTTGCAGACTCCAAAATTTTACATAACTTTCAAAGCAATGCAGCAACTCGCTGTAAGAAAAATCCATTGAGGATTGTTAAATACAAAGACACCGTCTGGGATAAAAATCATTAGAAAATGAGGAAATGTTCTGGAGTATTTTTTGGCCTGTTCTTTATATATACCCTCTAGATGTCAATGTAAGAGACAGAAGACAGAGCCAGATGGATCACAAAATCATAGAATCATAGAATCATAGAATCACTTTGGTTGGAAAAGACCTTTGATATCATCGAGTCCAACCTTTAACCTAACCCTGACATCCCACCCCTAAACCACGTCCCTAAGCACCTCGTCTATCCTTCTTTTAAATACCTCCA